ATGCACACGAATGTTCATTGCAGCACTGTTTACAATAGCAAAGACTTGGAACCAACCTAAATGCCCATCAATGGTAGACTGTACAGGGAAAATGTGGCACATATACACCATGGAATACTCTGCAGTCATCGAAAAACGATGATTTCATGTCCTTTGTAGGGACATGAATGAACCTGGAGACCATCATTCTCAGCAAACTGACACAAGAACAGAAAATGAAATACCGCATGTTCTCACTCATAGGTGGGTGTTGACGAATGAGAACACATAGACACAGGGAGGGGAGCATCACACACTGGGGTCTGTTGAGGGGACGTAGGGGAGGGACAGCGGGGAATGGGTAGTTGGGAGGGATAACATGGGGAGAAATGCCAGATATAGGTAATGGGGATGAAGGCAGCAAACCACACTGCCATGTATGTACCTATGCAACAGTCTTGCATGTTCTTAACATGTACCCCAGAACCTAAAATGCAATAATGTAGATATATATACAATAAAAATTTTTTTAAAAAAGAATTTTATTCTGAAGGTATTGAGTATTGGTGTTCTGTATCTGTCCCTTAAGTAGATTTGTTAATTGCATTGTTCAAATATTGCATCTTACAGTTTTTTTTCTGGTTGTTATTTCACGTACTGAGAGCAACCTGCTCATACTTCCTACTATGATGGTGGATTTGTCTGTTTTGCCATTCAGTACTATCACATTTTTATATTTTGAGGCTTTACTACCAAATGCTTACAAATTTAGAATTGTCATATCTTTTTGGCAAATTGAATTTTTTATTATGAAATCTCCCTTTTTTTCTGTAATAATCTGTTTCACATTAAATTCTACTATGTCTGATAAAGTTCGGGCCTCACAAATTTCAGACCTACAAACACAGCAGCCTCTTCTAGTGCAAAGTGACTTGCTCTCCACACAGCACTATATCTATAGGAATTGCAGTTTGAGTCCCAAACCTGACCTACAAATGAATCCCATTATCTAATTAAATGACTCTCAATGCTAGTTACACATTAGAATCACCTGGGAAAAGGAGGCCCTTTTAAAAACAGCTGATGTCAGAGGTCTGTCACAGAAACTCTACTTACTAGTCTGGAACAAACCTGTATATTACTGTTTAGTAAAAGCACCCAGATGATTTCTCTGACTTTATAACCACTGGCTCAGTATAATATCCTGCCACCTCCACCAAGGATGTTGCTCAGTAAGTCTAGATTTGTAATTTCTGGGTGGAGTCTGCACTCTGTGGAGTATGGAGTCAAAAGGCCTGTCAGGTGAAAAATGAAAGATGGAAGAAACCATATACCCTGGATGACTGGTTCTCCCCTGTCCCACTGTATGTCTTCTCCAGGTATGATATTACTTTTTTCACACTGTGGAAATCTACCCCAGCAGATTCACAGCCTTTTCTTTCTTCCCTAACCTGTCAAGCTATAGCCACAAAGATAACTATGTGGTAAGTATAGCAATTGTGGCCATCACATCTGGACTCTGATTCCTTTTAGGAGTCAATAATGAAAGAGGAATAGAAGGAAAAAAGAAAGAAACCAGTTCCCCAGCCCCTGTTAAATTCAGAAACTCTGCGTATTACTCTGAACTGCTTTTATGCTACCCATGCTACTTCATATGAATTGTGTATTACCATCTCCTCCACTGAACTCTAAGCACTCCAAAAACTGGAACTGTGCCTGGTACCTACTTAGTAGGTGCTCAGTGAAATGTTTGATAAGTGAATAACCAAGTAACTAAACAGATAGAGAAGAAGAAATGTTTCCATAGCAGTGGAAAAGATGCAGTCATGGTTTCACTGCTAGGGGTCAGTATTTAACATGGATAATTGAAAACACAGCAGAGCATCAAAGGAGCAGAACTCAAAATCTTATGTGAAAACTAAACAGTTGCACTTTTTCTTAAACAGCCTGCTTCTTTTCAATGCAGCTAAACATTTGCTATCTCCTTGTACTCCATTTCTACTTTTCTTCTTAGACCTCACACACAGCAGCAACCTGATTGTTTCAAAGTGCTCTGCTCTGCTTGCTTTGTCTATTTCCACTTTCCAGCTCGGCAGCAGCCTAGTTGTTAGGGACTTCCTTTAATATAACAGTAGGAACTCTTTCCAGCTCTACAGCATAGTTTAAGGGAGATTAGTTGAATGTACAATCCTTCCTTACTCATTTTCTGATTTCCACAGTGTTTTGAAAGAACTGAGAGTTAAGACTGCTTATCCACAAGGCTTTTTCAGTAATGTTATGTTTATCTTAGAATTCCGGTCTAAATGGTAATTGAATTGTGCATGTGGAAGAATGCAGCCAAGATGTTTCAGTAATCATGTGGTACCAGGGACTGGGCTGCCTGCACATGACTTGGGGCAGATGAATCTGGTGCCTTCTTTCTTAAGGACTGGGTTTCAAAGAGAAGTAAAAACAGGATGAAGAGCAGCTCACGCCAGCTCACTTGACACCTTTTGAAATACAGAAGCACTGTTTCTCTTCAATGTTCGTTACTATCAAGGATTCCCATCTGGTAGTTCTAAGAGAGCATAGGATGTGAAATGTGAACATTTGAATCTCTGTGGAGCCACTGCAGAGAATCACTAAGAAGATAAGTAGGGTCAGCAGTACTAAGACTCATTTATGTGAGTTGTTTTGGAGACTGCTAACATCCCAGTCCAACATTGTTTATTCCACCTAATGACCAAGACCTTTATCCTTTTGGCTTAAGACAGTATTATTCAAAACATTGTCCATGGACCACTTGCTTTAGAATCATCTGTGGGTGCTTATTTAAAAATACTTATCCCTGAGCCCCAGATCAACAAAGCAGAATATCTGGGAGTGAGGCCTTGAACTTGTCCTGGATAAACCACTCAGCTCATTCTTTTGAACCCTAAAGTTTAGATTGCTGCCTTGAGACCTTACTAAGTATTAAGCTTCAAAGTGCCCCAAGAAGCAATAGCATTGTGAGCAGGTGTTAGTCATTTTTATTGAAGGATCTAAGGTCAGCTTGTTTGTAGAGAAAGTAATTGAAAAGAACTTGAGAACACAAATACTCATTGAGAAGGAATAGGTTACTACCAAAGAGAAGGAAGGAGTAGAGAGAAAAGAGCCAAAGAAAAACTTCTTTACTTTATAATTTTGCCCTAGGTTTTATGGTCATTTGTCATAGCTGAGTTCAATCCAGCAAACATATATTGAGCCCCTACCAGGTGCCAGATACCAGGAAGAAAACAAAATAGAAGGAAGCTCTTAAGTGGAGAATTTAAATAAATGAAAAAAGGCCAAAGATTGAGATTCATACAAGAAACTTTGGGAGCTGAGAAGCAGGGACCCTAATGGCAACTTAGCTCCTAGAGAAGGAAGTGTCTGAGCAGGAAAATTAATAGAAGTTAGGCAGATTTTGAGGTTATGTATGGGGGTGACTATTGGGGAGGAGCTAAAGAGGGGACAGAAATTGGTGGGAAATGGAGCATGTGCCCAACATTGGACAATCTGCCCAAGAAAAGGTCTGAACATAAAGCAGTATGCTATTTTGGGATTGGCAAGCAGTTCAGGGCTGCTTCATCATAAAGTACAAAGAATGAGGAAAAGGCAATCTATGATCCTGGATAGGTAGATTAGAGCTAAGTCAGATACGTGCATATTTTTATAACTTTTTTTTTTTTAATTTTTTATTGGATTATAGGTTTTGGGGTACATGAGCAGAGCATGCAAGACAGTTGCGTAGGTACACACATGGCAGTGTGCTTTGCTTTTCTTCTCCCCTTCACCCACATTTGGCATTTCTCCCCAGGCTATCCCTCCCCACCTCCCCCTCCCACTGGCCCTCCCCTTTTCCCCCCAATAGACCCCAGTGTTTAGTACTCCCCTTTCTGTGTCCATGTGTTCTCATTTTTCATCACCCACCTATGAGTGAGAATATGCGGTGTTTCATTTTCTGTTCTTGTGTCAGTTTGCTGAGGATGAATGTTCTTCAGATTCATCCATGTCCCTACAAACGACACAAACTCATCATTTCTGATTGCTGCATAATATTCCATGGTGTATATGTGCCACATTTTCCCAATCCAGTCTATTATCAATGGGCATTTTGGTTGATTCCTATTTTTATAACTTTTACAACGTCCTGTTGTGCCAGACATCTAGAAGTCTCTCTGGATCTGTCCTTCAAATTCATTCCAGGTTTGTGGTCTCAAAATGTTAGTTGTGATTGTTCCAAAAACATATTACAACTGGTTTGTGGGCCCTCTGTGGGACAGTGAAGTGGACCATAATATCAAAATTTTTTAAATATAAATTTGAGCTTGTTTTGACTATTACTGGAAGAATACTTAAAAATAGTAACATTAATGACTTCTAGAGAGAGAGGACTGGGAACGGAAGTGGAATGACTTTAATTCTCACTGTATGCCCTTTTCTACTGAATTTGAATTGTTTACCATGTATATTTATCACATATTCAAAAAAATCATAAAAGAGAACTAAAGAGATATTTATTCTATAAGATAAAGAAATTGTCAGCATATAAAAGAGTGATTTGCTAGGCGCAGTGGCTCACACCTGTAATCCCAGTACTTTGGGAGGCCGAGGTAGGTGGATCATGAGGTTAAGAGATTGAGACCATCCTGGCCAACATGGTGAAACCCCGTCTCTACTAAAAATACACAAATTAGCTGGGCATGGTGGTGCCCCTGTAGTCCCAGCTACTTGGCAGGTTAAGGCAGGAGAACTGTTTGAACCTGGGAGGCGGAGGTTGCAGTTTGCAGTGAGCAGAGATTGTGCCGCTATACTCCAGCCTGGCGACTGAGCAAGACTCTGTCTCAAAAAAAACAAAAAGAGTGATTTAATTTATATTAATAACCAAGTTAACAACTTATACAATGGTGACAGCAATGATAACATTAAAATAATTTTGTCTTTTAAATCCTGAGAAAAACATGAGGTTGGAGAAATCTGTATATCCTCTATAAATTTTGCCTCTTTTTTTTATTTTCCAGTTTGCAGCTCACCTTGTGAAAATGAAATATCCAAGAATCTGTATTCTAGATGGTGGTATTAATAAAATCAAACCAACAGGCCTCCTCACCGTCCCATCTCCTCAAATATGAAGAACCAACAGTGTGACTGCCGAGGGTCAACATTGCATCAGCACCAACACCACAGTTCTTCATATCCATGCCACTCTCAGACAAAACTAGATGTCCAGATTGTTGCATTTCCATAAAGTTTGTCACGAGACATTTTTTAAAAATCTCATAACCTACATGTTCAGCTATCCAGGCAAGAAACTTGACTGCACATGTATTGCTAAAGAATTTTAATAGTGAAATCTGATCATGTATTTTTACCACACTACCACATAAAACCCAAGGAATTCAGCTAAGACAGATTTAGCATTATCAAGAAATCCCAGTTGCCCTGAAGAAGCTGTCCTCCATGGTACTGAACAGTTCTACTGATTGTATTATTTAGAAACATACACTGAATGTGGGCTGAAATCATCATCTTTCCATGATAATGAAAATTGAGAAACTATTCACAATACATTCCTTATAAATAAATGCTACATTTAGTAACTTATTTCACCCATAAAAGGGGTGTGCATGTATATGTGTGCGTGTGCATGTGTGTGTGTGTGTTTAGAGGAAGTAGAGTTTGACCCATTGCACAAGTGGTAATATTTACTCCCAGAAAAATGAAATTTAGAAACCATTAATATTTGATATAATATTTGGTCAGTTCCTATAGCAAACAAGAATGGCTTCAAAAAATTTTTTTAGTTTCTTTATCACATGAAAGTCTGTATAGTCAGTCCAGGACTAGTGTACTGGTTTCCTGATCATTAAGAACTCATTATCTTCTCTCATTGCCCAATCTCAATACATGACATCCATCTCATGGATGAAAATGGCTCCTGAGCGTCTACCATCACATCTGCTATCTAGAAGGAAGAGAATGAGAGAAGTAGGAAGGGGATAAAGAGAAAGGAAGGGATGAAATATGGAGGAAGAAAAGAAATGAAAAAAAAAGGGAAGCATGCGCCTTCCCTTTAAGGTCACAAACCAGAAGTTGCACACATTACCTCTGCTTTCATATTATTGGCCAGAACGTAGGCACCTGGCCACACCTAGCTTTAAGGAAAACTGGAAGTATAGTCTTTGGCTGGTTGACCATTTCCCCAGCTAAAAAAAAATATTACTGTATGGAAAGAAGAGAGAACATATTGAGGTACAGCTAGCAACCTCTGCCTCTGCCACATTATTTGAAAAATTAAGTACTATACTTCATTCAATCTAAGACATCTCACAATTTTAGGTACCACAATTTTAGGTCCACTTCTTGGACCCCCTGGAAAACCTGCCACTCCCACTGGGACGGTAAAGCCTGTAGGTGTGGAGCCAGGACAGCCGGCCAGCTGTGTCATTCACCCAGGAGCCCTGGATCCTGGCGCAGAAGAGTCACAGAACTGCCTGTGCTGGGCCCGGCCCCATAAAGCCCTGGTTTAAAGCAAAAAAAAAAAAAAGAAAGAAAAAAATGCAACCAAATGAATTGTGACACATTGTCAGTTAAAAAACACATTCCCTGGGAGGCCAGGGTCAGAAGTTTGAGACCAGCCTGGCCAACATGGAAAAACCATGTCTACTAAGAACACAAACATTAGCTAGACATAGTGGCACACGTCTGTGGTCCCAGCTACTCAGGAGGCAGACTCAGGAGAATCACTTGAACCCAAGAGGCAGAGGTTGCAGTGAGCTGAGATAGGCCTGGATAACAGAGTGAGACTCTGTCTCAAAAAAAAAAAGAAAAATCCCATTTCAGAAATCTGAAAAAATATGCATCTTTTAATTATTGAACTATAGCACATCCTTTAACTATCTTCAATTTTTTTTTAGCTAAAAAGTGTTACTCATCTATAACTTATATTCCACTTCAATGTTAAGACTACCTAGACAGAGCCTCAATTCAACTTTCTGGGCCCTGGTTTTGTTGTGGTTGCTAATTGTTTATTTTTTTTTCTTTTCATCTACTTTTTAAATTGAGATATACTTTACTTAGCATAAAATTCATCCTTTTAAAATGTAAAATTCAGTCATTTTTAGTGTATTCACAAAGTTGTTCAATCACTATTATCCATAATACTTTCATTGTATGCAATTCTCTACCTAATTAGCAGATATTCCCCATTAACACCTTCCAAGGTCTTTGATAAATTTTGATATGTGGAGTAAGGGGTCCAGCTTCATTCTTGCATGTGAGTATTCAGTTGTCCCAGGGCCCATGCTGTTTTCTTTGTTTTATGCAATTTGGCCATTCACCAATGTGTTTTGAATACCTGCTATGTCCGAGACACTAATATAATCCAAAGTTCTATCATTTTGTGATCCTTACGTAGTTTACAAAGAAAAAAGTGTGAGAATTAATGGGAACAAATATTTACCCTGATTTCTCTAACATTGCTTTTGGGCCATCATCTACTCTGCTTAGAGAAATATCATAAAATCCTCCTGTCCTAGCAGTTACAATTATTTTCCTTCAATCTTTGATGACTTTGACTTCATAATCAGAATGCAGCACTGATGATCATTCTGAGTCTTAACTTTGCCTTACTGAGAAAGCAGAGAAGAGAGGGATGGAAGGGCAGTTGATTTGAGTTGAGTAAGATGGTAGCTAGTAGGAGAGGATGAAGACCTTGTCAGGAGAACTGTGTAAAAAGATAATAGTCGGAACCCTCTGTCATGATTGTGCATTTCATCTTTCTTAAAACTTGACACATTTAGGCTTATTCCAGTAAATTGAAGTTTTTTTAAACATGCAAATTATAATATTTAATATTCTCAACAGTAAAGTAAGAAAGCACACTATCACTGCTGCCATGTTTATACATAGAGCATATTATTTCATGGTGGATGATACCAGCAAAGTTGACCTCAACAACGATTTGTTAGATTACACGTATATAACCCAGGAGTTATTTGAGGTTTTTTTTGCTATATTATTGACTCCTGAACAGTCATTATCAGCACTGTTTCTGGCTCTACCTGGAGTGCCATAACTACCACCACCAGCCCACACAGATACACACTCACACACATATACAAACTCACATACACAAACATACTTATTAATCCTTGATAATCTAGCAACAACAGTGTACCTCTTCCAGTCTTCTCTGGCTTCCCCATGTTTCATTAGAGCCTCGAATCTACCAAAGCATTCCATTCATACTTATGATAGATTTATTACATCATTTTACAATTATTTATTTACATTTAGGCCCCTATTAAATATGAGCTCCTTAAGGTCAGGAGCTATAATTTATACCTTTTGCTACTTTCATCAACCTACTACATTGAATATGTGCAATTAATACTAAATTGAATATCAATTTTAGAATTGATTTGAAGGGAGAAAAATAAAAATAACCTGTGGTAATTTTTTTCAACTGCCAAACTTATCTGGTACCTGATGGTAAAGAAATAAATTGAAACCTCTATTTGTGGAGTATAGAAAGGATCTCTAAAGTTCCATCCAGCTCTAAAATTTAATAATTCTGGAAGTTGGAGTAAGTAACTTCCAAAATAAGCTAAGCTAATTGGATCCTCTTTTTAAAATATGGAAATGTTAGATTCAAAAAGCATATTAAATATAACTAACTAATGTTTAACCAATTTTTATTGGAAATGAAAAGGACCTGAAAGGCACAGCTTTTAGGCCCGTAGGATATCCATTATCAATATAAGCCCTAGGAACTCGAGGTTTAACATGTATATAGGAATAGAAGACATAATTTTGGACCTTCTGGGTGAGAGTTCTTATAAAGACATCTTTATGAAGTGGCAGTCTTAAGGAACTCTGCTCCATGAAATGACAAGACATAACTTCCCGCCAAATTAGGGAAGCTACAGAGGAGACTGTCATTGGCCTGGTTATTCTCCATGAAGGAAGAAAAATCTGTTACAGACAGATGGAGTTGTTCAATGGAAAGTCTGGGGTAAGTTCCTGATGGAGAACAGGCTTTAGTGCACTTCAAAGGAAAACAATGAATTGTATAACACTTTTAAAGGACACAATGGTACCAGATTTTTGTTTAACTCCTTTGCTTTCCTCCTCCAAATAGTTGCCAAAAAATATTCCACTGGGAAACAGTATCAAAGGGATTCCATAGTATCTCCAAAGAATCTTATTCACTAGTCTCATTTAATAAAATCCACTAGAAAGAAAGAAGACTGCTGCCTTTAATAGAAAGATAGGGTTGGCACTGTTGATAATCTAGCAACAACGCTGCTGTTGGCACTGTTGATAACCTAGCAACTCATTCCATCAGTTGTAACTAGTAATCCCACTGTTATACGTGCTGAGCCAATATTCAGTTATTATTTACCAAATAATGGTTTTTTTCAACATTTATTAAATCAGAGTGGAAGCAAAATATGTGATAAATTTTAGTTTGGATGTTCAATGTCAAGACCAAATATTCTTTATAACTACAAACTTAAATTTTATGTGGAAAAGTAATGATGAAGAGTTTCAAACCTTAACTGATACCTGACACTTAACAGGATATGTAAATGCTCACACACAACCTTTAGGTTTTGTAATCCAGTTTTATCTCATACAATATTAGAAACAGTACACTTTGTAAATAGCTATTTTAAAAGCTAGCCATATTTTTTAAAGTCACATGTATTGACTTCTGAGTAATTTTCTTGTTAATGCCTTATAATAGGTGCTTGTAACATGAAAACTAAACTTGGATCTTGGTATATTCAGTATTCTATAGATAGATTGTGATATGCGTAGCTTCTACTGTGACTTTCAGACCTAATGTCTCCTCTTAGGTTGTTATTCTTTAATATCCTTTCTCATTCCTTTCAGGGGGCCTATTTTTAGTTTGCATTGTTTGCAGCATTTCGGTAATACTGTTCTATTCTAATAATATTGTTCTGCGCTAATAAACATTTCTAAATACTGTGGTTCCAAAGCACTGTATTGCCAACATTTCTAGATATTAACTATTAACCCCCTGCATGGTGGGGGTTAAGACACTGCTCTGTCTTAGCCTAAGACTAATCTTGGAGCTATAACAAATGCATGTAAAGCATTCGATCAGATTCTAAATACTGCTTCCTGCCATGCTAAAAGATTCAACTTTTACTCTCATTACATGTGTATGTGACTTAAAAAACAGTACATACCCTACCATTTTTTAAAAGACTGTTACAGCTTGAACACTAGCATTAACATCTAAGATAATTCAGAATAAATTCATTACATATTTATTGCAGGCCAAGTTTGAATCAGTCACTGTATTATATGATGTGGTGAGGTACAAAATCTAAGATAATCCTTGCAAAAGAGACAATTTTCTCAAACCTGGAAACCTATTCTTACTCTGTTATTTATTTTTTCTCAATTATATGCACATATTTTCAGTCCTATAGGGTAGAATGATTTAGTATTCTAAGTCCTGTATCCCAAATCAGGCTCTTTTTAAAAATTTTTATTTTTGAGAGCCAGTCAGCAACATTTACCAGTGCATCTTTGATTTAACCATTCTAGGGTCATTATATTTTCTATAGTATAAATTATGAAAGTAAAAGAAATGTTAAAGCTCATTCAATCCAAATGCCATTGTTTAAAACAGTAAGTAAAGTGAAAAAAATTTGCAAAGATCACATAGCTAGTAAAAGGCAGATTCAGAATACATTCATTACATATTTATTGCAGGCCAAGTTTGAATCAGCCACTGTATTATATGATGTGGTGAGGTACAAAAATGAAGTGCTGAAAATGTCAATTAAACTGACTGCTGACTCTATCACATGGAAATGCCACTTAATATCAGCCCTTAGAGGATGGCACTCTGACCTCCTCATCTTCTTCACATATTCAAAAGTAAAGATTTTTAAAAAGAATGCATTTGAGCATTCTACTCTGAGGGAAGAATCACTATTTTCAGGAACTCTTGCTATGTATTAAGTTACCTCTTCACCTTCAAGACAACCTTCCTCAGAAAAACATCCCTAGTAGAGAAACACATTGTCTGTCCACAGTACAATCCTTGATATACAGGATCAAAGTTGGCTTTTAACCTTTGTTTTCTGTCTTAGCCAGGGACCAGTCTTAAAAAATAAGAAAAGTCCTCCTATCAGTTTCCCAGTGGTGTGTGGAAAGTCAAGGTGAGGGAGTGGGGGATAGCTGGCTTCTGGATTTATTAACCATAAAAGAGAAGAAATAGAGGTCATTTAAGTCATTTGCTAACTTTAAAATACAGTTTTGTGCTCTGAGATAAACTGATAATTATTTGCCAGATAGCACGTATTTTCTAAAACTATCTTTAAGATCATTAATAATTCCATATATTATGCATTCATAGCCATAGACTTCATATAAGGTCATTAGGAATTGAATGGCATGTGAGAAACAGAGCTACTGGACTGAGGCCAGATGGCACAAACAGTAGTTTGCAAAGTGATGTGCAACCAAGAATGGAATCACATTATTGTTTAATAAGTATGATTTACATAAATTAGGATTTTTTTACATCTCTGGATGCATTATATTATCATTAATTACATATGGCAGTAAAAGACGACAGGACGAAACATTTGTCTAAATGTAATGCCTAGTGTGACCATTTTAACTCCCTACTCTGAACTTCTTTCCTGTTTTCAAAGATCTCAGGATCTGCTCCCATCCCACACTGCCCTAACATGACTATATTCTGGAGAGGCCTTCCTGAGATGCCTTCTATTGAAGACCCACCCTGAGCAACAATGGATAAACAGGCAGAATCCATTTCCAGGATCTATCCATTTACCTTTGTAGGAAAAAAAAAATGTATATCACAAATACTGATTCAGAGGAAGGAGGTTATTTTGAATTGTTTCTCAAATTAGTCTGATAGAGATAGAGATAATAGGTGTTAAAAAGTTCTTAACCGTACTTTGGGTTACTATAACTCAGTGACTACTATACAGTCCTCCTAAATAATGGTTTTTCTATGTTTAGATTGTAACAATATTTCTTTTTCATATCAACTACTGTCAGGTAGTCATTTTGATTTCTGCCACAATTTGGTGCCTTAAGAAAAGCATGAGAAGAGTGGTTTCCTGGTGGTGAAGAAACTTTAAAATATCCCTCCCCCCTTTTTTAAATTAACTAACCTGAATCCAAACTGATTAAGTCTAACAGCATCCCAGGTATAGAGAAGAACTAGACTAGTTCATATTTCAAAAGTAATATACCTACAGATAGTATATTTAAAAAACAAAAACAAATTGAAGCCTCTATCATGACTGATGCTTTACTAATATTTTACAAAACACACTGGACACGAAATGTGCTTTTGAGGCATTTAAGCCTGTATCCCAAAATATGTTTACTTGTAAGTTACTTATGTATATGTATGTTTAAGTGAATGAAATAATGAAAAGGAGATGACTTTGATAGATTAAATCTTAACACTCATTTAAATGACATGTTATTTTAACATGAATCCTATGCAGCAATATAACAACTATTTAAAATTTTCAGTGGTGACTTATATAACTTACATAAAGCAAGATGTTACATATTTGTAAAGAAACCCTTCCACAAAATGATAGCAGCTCAGGCAGAGACTGACGATATTAATTGCCCTATAAATCACTAACTATATGGCATTCTGAAATGAATTTTAAATTGCCCTGTTTGATTAAGTGAAATAATATCAAAATTAATATTAAAGTTAATTATTGTCAGCCAAATTCTGTTAACTCAAAAAGAATAAATTAATAAGGAAATTAATTGTTGCAATTACTTAACCCTTTTAATTAGCTTGTCCTGCCCAGGACATTAACTGAACCACTTTTAAAAAGCTGTTAGGCATTTATTACAAAACCTGGTTGAAATTTTATGTGAGTGTATTATTGGATGCATACTTTATTACTTACCAGCTAAAACTAAATGATGATTTTTAGGATCTGAACCAAATACTAAATTAAATATCTGGTACAAATTAGTTGTATAAAAATAAACAAATGAAAACAATAAATTGTGAAAGGGTCCTAGTGACAACTTCGAAGGTTGACATTCCACACATATACTTCTACCAGATACTTCTTGGTCCAGGTCATGATAATGTTATTGCTCCTTGAAAGCACATGAGCACTTCAGTTGTTTCAAGGGCAGGTGAAACCTCAACTCCTCCACGACAGCTATCCCCTAAAATGGCATGTGTATTTTTTGTTTACTCAGATCTTGGAAGGCTGGAATGAGGAAGAACTATGTGCTGAGGTTTCAGGTTAGCTGGCATTTGCTTAGTGTTGATGGTTAAACTTTCTCAAGGATCTTTCATTTCACAACACTAAGTTTCCTTAAGCCCCCAGAATTATGGTAAATCCTACTTCATGCAGCACTATTCAGGAAGCTCAAACCTCCACTGTGGTCAAAGTAATGACTGTCTTCAAAGAAGGGTTTCCAGATTTCCAGTGTCAGCATTTAACCTTCAGCCATCTTTAGAGTAAGAAATATGTTCTAGGATCCCAACACTATCACGTTAAGAGTAGGTTGAAAAAGACCACCCTGACAAAAACAACATGTTTCAGGAAGAAGAGGGGGAAGCGAGGGTTCAAGTTTTCCTCTCCCTTAAACCTCAAATTACAGGGAGCCTGCAGGAAGAAAAGGAGATCAATTATCAGAGAACTTGGACTCCCTACTACTGGCCTCTCCACTGCTTTTTCAGTATATGTCTGGGCAGTTCACATGGGTTCCCTAAGGCTCTGGTTCCTCACATTTAAAAGAGTTAATAGCATTTATCCAGCCTGTCTCCTAGGTTTATGTTGAAGCTCATAGAACAGTATTTTGTAAATGGAAAAATATTATTCAAATATGTGTATAATTTTTATAAAAGTCAATTGTTCTGTAAAGCTATCAAGCCAAATTCTTGATCTATTGTGTAGTTTTTAGAGAAGAAATATTGACACAACAAATAATTATTCTTGCAATCCGTATGCCTTTCCTATTATGCAACATAAAATGGAAGACGTCACAAGCAGTATTGAGTATACACTGCACGCTTGATACTGTTTAATTTCATTTAAAGCAATTATTTCTGCTGTTTATAAATTTTATGCAAGATTCAGACTTCTCTTTGTTTTATATATCACCCTTTCTAAACCCAGTTTTACCAACGAAAGCACACTTTTTACAATAATCTAAATTCAATACAATCTGGCAGGTTCAGTTTTGCCAAAAACGATCTACACCTAGATGGCAGAGATTAACTTTGTTTCAAATCCACCCTTCCCTTCAGTTTTATCTCCCTCTTCCCTTGCAGCTCTCCTGGACTTCAAAGCAGCTTTGTGGTTTGCCTTGCAGAAAATCAATGGTTGGGAGATGAAAAGAAGCTCTTGTTTATCTCTGCTTGCTGAAGGTCATTCTACTCAGTAGCATTTGTGTGAGATCCACAACTTTTTTTCCTCACAGAGGGGAGAAGTAAATTGATTACATACACAGAAATCATTATAAAGAGAGAGTGGGATTCATTTTAAAGTGGTAGGATTACATAACACAAATATAATAAGAATCAGTGTAGTAGCAAAGTATTGGTGTTCAGAGTATAAGTTTAAAGTATTATTTAATGTGACCCTAATTTTATAAAACTGTTTTATGTCTGGACTTGTTACAGGGTACAAAACTACATAGTTTATCACACATTCTAACAGGTACCCAAGAAATTATTTGAACTTAGTAGGCCTTAAGGCCTATGACTAATAAGCCATTAATAAATGAGTGCTATGAGTATTGAATTCTACATAGGTAAGTTTTCTCACAGCAGATATGGCCAGAATTGTGGGTCTTGCTTAGCTAGATTATCTATCAGTCTGTTTTCAAATGCTGATGACATGTTGTCATTCAGCCCTGTTACATGAATTGCTTAGCTCCCAGTGTTCTTTACATAACAAGTTCATTGCTTGAACCAGTATTGAC